TGCACCAAGTGTGACTGTGTAAGAGTGATGGTGCACGCTACTGTGTCCCTGGAGATCTGCAAGCCAAGGTAGCGGCGCAGCTCTCCTAGGTCACCGCAGGTGTGTCTTCTCAGCAGCTCAGCCTTCACGGAGGCTAGTGCGTCTCTGTGAGTAGTAGCAAAGACCAGGTCGTCTACGTAGACAAGGATGTAGAACGAGATCTGGTCAGCATGAACGAAGAGCGAAGGTTTTGCAGACGACGGGAAGAGTTGCAGGTCAGCTAACGTAATATGCAGCGTGTCGTGCCACTCACGGGGCGCCTGCCCCATGCCGAAAACCGGGTACCGGAAGAGCCACTCTGTCCCAGGGGTGAAGGTGCTGGTGAAGCCTGGCGGACAGCGCAGATAGACCTTCTCGTGCAGACTACCCTGGAGAAACGCTGTGGACAAGTCGAGGGAGTGCAGCTTGTAGTTACACTGTGCTACTACGTATAGCAGCGCCGGAAGAGTGGTCATCTTCCGAGTCAGAGCGAAGGTGTGAAAGAAGTCAACACTCTCGCGCAGACTGAAGCCTCTAGCTACGTAGCGCGCCTTGAACACCGGCGAATCTCCGGAAGGACGCTTCACTTTGAAGAGCCATTAACGATTGACTACATTCATCCCAGGTGAAGGAACTGCATCGACATAGGTGCTGGTGGATCTCCAAGATGCCATCTCTGCGTCCATGGCAACTATTTACAGAGAGGCCCAGGGTCCCGAGGTCGCCTCAGGGTAAGGGCGAGGGGTCGGGATGTCAAGGGTGGCTAGGTCACCCTCAGGGACTAGCAGCATGGAGCATAGATGAGGAGCGGCCTCGGACAGGAAAGCGAGCTCATACTGCCGGTCCTCCTGGACGTCACTGCTAAGGGCAGGAGCACCCCCGACGAATGGAGGATGGGTAGGGTCAGAGACCAGAGCGGTGACATAGAGGCGGTGGGTAGAGGCGAAGTCAGCGACAAGAGCGTCAAGACTCGAGACAGGAACAGACGGGTCGGTAGTGAGGGAGGCAAGAACCTGAGAAACAAGAGTACTGACGGCACGAAGGAAGTCAGACAGAGGAGGTGCAGCGACAACAAGCGACGACGGAGGAGGCGACAGGATGTGAGGAGGACGAGATGCGTAGGAACAGAGCAACATAGGGTGAGAGCGCTGAACAGGAGAGACAGGACGAGCACGAGGGGGACGGCAAGACCAGAAGTGGGACAGAGGCGTCAGAAAAGGAGAAACAGGAGGAGAACGAGGGGTGAAACGAGCCGAAGACGAGTCCGGCGACGAAAACACAGGGCTGTAGATAGGCAGGGGAGGCGGCGGCGGGGGAGGAGCAGGCGGTTGGTTTGGGGAGGGAAGATGGAGTACGCGAAGGGTGGATACTAGCAGCAACTGCTGCTACTCTTGCGCGGACACCAGAACCTCCAGCTGCACCACGGCTACCTCCAGGACACTGCACGCCAACACCCCCTGAGTGAGAACCCTCTCCAACACCAGTGCCACCCCAAGGACCGCCAAGATAAGTTGATGTGAACCCTCTCTAGCACTGGTGCCACCCCCAGGACCACCGGGACAAGCCACGACAGTAACCCCAGGACTAGCACCCTCCTCAACTCCCGCACCCCCAGAGCTCGCGGGCCCCTGCGGCGGCTGCTGCTGCGACGGCGGCGACTACAGCTGCTGCTGTGGTAGTGACAGCAGCGGCTGCTGCGACGGCGGAGGAGGAGACACCGGAGGAGACCGGCACGAAGAACAGCGCCGATGTGCAACTAGAGTCAGCCGAATCCTCGACCGGGACAACCGACGGAAGAAGAGTGACGTGAGACACACCAGACAGAGCAGGACGAGGAGGGAGAGGAGCAGAGGCTACCAGAGGAGTGGGAACCAGAAACGAGGGCGGGAAAATCGGGAGACCTCGATGGGGAAAGCGGTGGTAGAAGGAGGAAGACTTGTCAAAAGTGACGTCACGGGAGTGAAAGAAGCGATGAAACGGCGGGTGGTAAAAGTGCCCGTCAGACGAGTCAAGGGGGAAACCAAGGAAGACACAGGGGATAGTGCATGCAGTGAGCTTGTCCATGCCAGAGGCACAAACGTGAGCAAGGCAGCCCCAGACGTGGAACGCAGATGCGTCACTAGGGAACCCGATCCATAGGAGGGTCGGCGAAACCTGCGGCCGCTGGGAGTGTGGCCAAATGTTCAGCTGGTGAGCGATGTAGCGAACAGCAAACGACCACAGAAAATGGGGTGCACCAATATGGATCATGGAGGTACGAGCCACCTCCATGACCAAACCAATGCGTCGCTCAGCGACCCCATTCTGCTGCGGGGAGTCCGGCAGGTGTACAGCTGAATGATGCCCTCCTCACGACAGGGAGGCCGTGGTGGACTCGCACAGCTACGTCCCACGGGATAAGAACGTTAGGCACGTCAGCCATCTGCTCCAGGGGAAACTCCGTGGTGTAGCACGTGTAGTCGTCGACGCGCACTAGAAAGTAGCGCTCTCAACGCGGCCCAGGGACAGGGGCTGCACCCCAAACGTCCAGGTGCAGGGTCTAAAGTGGCGCAGTGGTAGTGGGAAGTGAGGAGGACTTAGGAGCATGGCGCAGTCGTCCCTCAACGCAAGGCGTGCATGGCGGCGCAGGCTAGGGAGGATGGGGAGGGAGCGATGCAGGGAGACCAAAGACAAGACTGTGGTGGGACATGTTACGCAGACTCGAGAGTGCGGGGTGACTTAGGCGGTGGTGCCACAGAAGTGACGGGTGAGTGAGCAACCGACACGAGCAAGCCGCAGCGACCTGGGTCGACACAAGCACTGGGGGGGACGCAGTGTCAAGCGTAAACAGGCAAGACACTGGGTCCCGGGGGAACATGGTTAAAGGGGAACCATTGGCGGCCTCGGTATAGACTGCGTACTGCTTATGTCCGGGGAACGTAGTGGTGATGCCGATGTCCTTAAATAGCCGACATCGTCTAGGTTCCTGGAGAACGAGGGGATGTGCAGGCCTGTAAGAGAACCCGAGGGGACCGCCAGACAGGGAAGGGTGGTGGAGCTACGGGCTACGACCAAAGCAGAGGAGGGGTCAGAAAGCACGACAGCGGCAGGGGCGGCAAGCGGCGCGAGTGTAGTGTGGTCGCGGAAGAAGCTAGCAGACGCTCCAGAGTCGAGCATGAAAGAGAGCGAAGAAGTAGTGTTAGCCGGCGAAGGGATGTGCGTCAAGTTTAGGCTAAACAAGGTAGGGGGTCGTACGCTTAACGCAGCAGGGGAATCTAGACTGCACACAGGGGGCACACCTACGCTAGGCAACATCGAGAAATAGGGTCCAGACACACTAGAGTCATCAGCATACATGGCATACAGAGCAGACCTAATATAATACATGTCCATATCAAAGATCGGTACACGACGACGCACCAGGCTCTACTAGACGAGGGGGTCCGCCGAGGGGCCACAGCAGAGGAGGAAGAGGTCGTCGAGGCGGTGGTAGCAGCGGGCGGCGGTGTTCCCAGGTGGGTCACAGACTGTGCCACGGCGGGGGCCGGACTGAAGCTGGTACTGGCACGTGACCACACAGGAGCCGCCACCCAACACCGAGTCGCGCCCCCCACCACCACGCCCACCACCACCAGTGCCGCCAGTCCACCACGGCGGCGGGGGCCCCCACGGCGACTGCTGCTGCGCCTGCGACTGCATGTGCTGAGGCTTTTGCTGCTGCTCTAGGGCACCAGCCCCGGTCCTCTCGTCTGAACCACCGTCCCCACCCCCACCTCCACCACCCCCACCACCCCCACCACCCTTCCCTCCACCACGCCCCCCCTTGGGGCGGTGGCCCCTACCCTGACGCTGCTGTACTGAGGCCGCGGCGGCGGTCTCAGCAGCAGGGGCTGTCTCAGCGACAGCAGCAGAAACGTCAGAGTAAGTGCACTAAGAGGGAGCACAACCTTAGAAGACAGGGACCGACGCAGTACTGCTAGACTGAGTGATAGTGCGCTGGCGGGTCTCTATCGTGGACAGGGCGGTGACAAAGGCAGTAAGGATGAGGTCACCGGGGTGCTGACTAAGGAAGTGGCCGCGGGCAGTGGCTAGGCGGTCAGGAAGACGTAGGGCAATGAGGTAAAGGGTAGCGCAAAGCGGCAGCGGGAAGGCAGTGAGCTGTGCCTTAGTGCTGGCGGGGTCGAAGGACCATAGAATGGATATGAGCACGAGGAGAGACAGGATGACCACCAGGGGGACAGTACAAGGGACGGAGGAGAACGAGGGGGGAAACGAGACAAGGACGAGTCTGGGGGCAGGAGCAGCGGTTTGTAGATGGGGGCAGGCATGAGGGGAGGCACTGTGGGAGGCACGAGCTGGCAGCCAAGGGAATCAGAAGAAAGGCCAATGAGACGAAGGGTAGACTACGTCTCGTGCTGCTGCTGCTCCTGGCTGTGAGAGTACGACCCTATTACACTTTGTTCTCACTTATTTATTTCTTCTCTATCTTATTCTCCTCTTTCTCCTGACTACATCTTCAAAGCCGACGCTAGTGACCAGGCAGTGGGAGCAGTCTTGATGCAAGACCCAGGGAATGGACTGCAACCAATCGCCTACCTCAGCAAGAAACTACACGGGGCAGAACCAAATTACCCGAAGGATGAAAAACAATCGTCTACACCGACCACTGCAGCCTCAAATATGTGTGCAGAAACATTTAAACCTCTCCGGGCGGCAGGTCTGGTGGATTGACTTCCTCGAGACGCACTTCCACTGACATCGTGTACGAGCCCGGCCGCAAGAACAAAGAAGCCGCTCTCAACCGGCCTGCACACATTGCCGCTATCCAGGTCGAAGGGATGAACCCGCTACTCAAGGGACTCTTCACACATGGGTACACCATCGACCCCAAAATTCCCTTGGCAGAAAAGTGACATCTGCTACAGTAGGACAGCAATATTGCGTACCCGAAAAGCTTAACGAAAATATGGGTACCCAACTACACGCCTTTGTGCCAGCTATTACTCGAAGAATACCATGATGTTCTGTAAGTCAGACACTTCGGTAGTAACAAGACGCTCTCCGATATTGCAAAACACTACTACCGGCTCAACATGGCAGACGATGTACAAAAATTCGTCACCTCGTGTGACACATGTCAGCGGATGAAGATCGGCTAGCAGAATAAAGCAGGACTACTACAGCCTCTTCCCGTCCTAGAACAGCCATGGCAAATGGTGAGCTGGACTTAATAACCGGGTAACCAACTAGCACAAGCGGTCATGACGCAATCCTTGTCGTCATCGGCAAATTCTCCAAAATGGGACACTTCATCCCGACACACACAACAGCATGCACCGAGAAGATGGCACAATTGTTCGTTCGATACATCATCTCCCAACATGGCATGCCAACCACACTCATCTCTGACCGAGATCCTAAGTTCACCAGCAAGTTCTGGAGGGAACTGATGTCTCTGCTTGGGACTAAACTCGCCATGTCATCCGCCTATCATCCACAGACCGACGGAAAAACCGAACACCTCAACCAGATTATAGAGCAACTCCTCCGTACAGCATGCAAGGACGAGATTTCTAAATGGGACTTGCATCTGCCCGTCCTGGAGTTTGCATACAATAACGCTACCGACGCCGCTATAGGACAGACACCATTCTTCTTCTGTGACGGACGCCAACTACTCACCCCACAGAAACCAACACCACCAGCCATAGTCCAACCTGCACACAGCTTCATCACGACCATGCATCAGCTTTGGGACCGGACCCACAAGTGCCTCATCGATATTCAGCAGCAACAAAAGCGTCAGGCCGACCGCCACCGCTGTGACCACACCATCACCGTGGGAGAACGTGTTCTACTCGACACACGCAATCTCGCCATCAGCCATCTCCCATCCAAACTGCGACCTCGCTTCTGCGAGCCCAACCTCGTTGAAGCACAGCTCACCCCCGTTACCTTACGCGTACGCCTGCCATCAACCTGGAAACGCCTTCCATGTCCAACTTCTGAAGCCCTACCGAGATCCCAACACGATCGTCACTCGACGCCAACCGCCACCACCGCCACCGGTCCTCGTCCATGATGAACCCGAGTACGAGGTCGAGTATGTGCTTGCATCCCGCCGTCGTCGGAATGGCACCTTGGAGCTTCTCATCTGCTGGAAGGGCAATGATCCTTCTAAGGATAGTTGGGTCTCTGAATCCGACATGGGTAACGTCCGTCGTCCTCTTCGCGACTAACTTGTCAAGCAGGGTGTTACTACTACCACCCAGCTTCGAGGGGGAGAAGTGAGAGCGTACGACCCCGTTACACTTCTTTCTCATTTCTATATTTCTTCTCTATCTTATCATAAATTTTCTCTTGATTCATTTGGTCTTCATCTTATCTCATTTGGTTTCCTATTCTTCATTTTCCATTATCTGTTGCTTTATCCTGCTACTACAATTATATCATTGACCAGGCTCGAGAAGTTCTAGCGCGCTATTTCTAGCGCGCTATTTCTAGCGCAATCTTGTCATAATCCCTTACAGCCAACAACATCGCATGGCTATACACAAGGCAATTCTATTTCTAGAAGGGTCTATTCCCTTTGGATAGAACAAACCTGGTTACCTGATGTAACTTGGAAGTTTAAAAGCACCTTGTATCAATCGATAGTGCAACTTTTCCTTGATCAATTCGATCATGTGACACCGGCCCACGCCAATACCCCCAACCCCACCACTGCCACTGCTAGCACTCTCCGAGTCAACAACTCCAGACAAGCACCCCCCAAAACAACTCCCCATAGTCGGCAACCCCAGAGCATGCACTCCTAGGGCCAACGGTCCCTCGTCGTTGCTGCTGCTGTTGCTGTTGTGATGGCTGCGGCGCCAGCTGCTGCGGTGGCGGCCACAGTGGGGGATGTTGCTGGTGCGACTTGGGCTCTAGGGCTGGGAGGAGGGGCGCCCCTGCTGCAGTAGATGCTCCTCCAGCCACGAGGCTCCCACGCAGACTCCTCCACAGGCTCAACCGAGGGGAGAGGGGTGGCATAGGAGACACCATACGGAGCGGGTGGGGTGGGAGGGGAGCGGCATGTGGTGCAAGGGCGAGGACGAGAGGGGGAGGAGGAACACGAGTGTCTCGGTGAGGGAAGCAAGCGTAGAAGGAGAAAGACTCATCAAATATAATGTTACGAGAGCGAAAGAAACGGTGCTGTGTCTGGTGGAAGAACAACCAGTCAGGAGCGTCGACCGGGAACCTCAGGAAGATAAAGAGGATGGTGCGGGCCGAGAGCTTGTCCGTGCTGATGTCGCAGACATCAGTCGGGCAGCCCCGGACGTGGAACGCAGACGCTTCACCTGGAGACACAGTCCAGAGTAGGGCGCGAGGAGTGAGACCATAGGTTAAGCTGGTGAGCCGCGTACCGCACCGGGAACAGCCACGGAAAATTGGGGGCACCGGCATGGACCATGGAGGTGTGGGCCATCTCCATGACTAGGCCAATGAGCTGCAAGGCCATTCTGCTGGGGCAAGGCCGGTAGGGTGAACGTCTGAGTGATGCCCTTCGCACGTTAGAACACTCCAAGACGGCCGGATGCAAACTCGCCACCACGAACGGAGTGATAGCGGAGCACGGGCAGGGAGTGTTGGGTGCGGACGAGTTGAGCCACGGGTGTAGGACATCAAGCACGTTGGCCTACCGCTCTATCTGGAACACCATGGTATAGTGTGAAAAGTCATCGACGACAACGAAGAAGTAGCGCTCCCTAAGAGGCCCAGGGACCGGAGCGGGCCCCAAACGTCCATGTGCCGGGTTTGGGGTGGAGCACTGGTCGGAGGAAAAGAGGAGTGAGGGGCGGGGCGCTGCCGACCCTCGACACTGGAGGTGCATGCGGGGGCTATCGAGGCGTGGAGGGCGGGGAGCGATGTGAGGAGACAATTGACAAGGCCGTGCTGTGCCACATGATGGAGACGCGGCCACGGGGATGAAACCAGATTATGGCAAAGTGACTTTTACGCCCAAAAAAGGGACCGGAAATGTGCATGCGACCTACACTGGCCGTGGGGAAGAAGTGCATCGGAAGGTCCTCCAAGCTGGGATAGGTCGCATAACAAGCTGTGACATCAACCTGCGATTTCAGAGTTTGGCTTGCAGATGTCCAAATCGGGACGAGTCTCACCCCATTCCCTTCCATCGCTACAGTAAACCGCCCACTGTCGCCCCTCAATCTGCCTGCACTCCCCAATGCCTCTCAATACCACCAAATTAGTGGTATGATGCCTTGCAAGAAGGAATGACAGAGCCACTCCTATTTTCTTTGGGGGGGATGTCCTCGCGGAATTTGCAGCCACACCCTTCAATAGCCACCTAGGCACTGTTGAGTTTGTCGTAGGCATTATCTTGCTGCATTTTCAGAGATTCGCACAACAGACATGCAATCTTGACCACCACATTAGGCAAACAAACATTGGCGGTGACTACGATTGCCTGGGCTCGGAATCGAAATTGCCACGCTTCCACCTATCTCCCGAAGCCAGCCCCCATGCCAACCAATTCCTTTTGTACAGATGAATGGCCCCCAAGGCTGAAGGACGGAGATTTCGAGGCTTCAAACGATGGAGGACATTTCTCGAGCTCCTTCGCCATCCACTGCCTCATAGGCAATGTTCGGGCGCCATGGGGGGACTAAGGTTAATGGGGTGCTAAAAATTGTTAGAACGCTAGAATGAACTAGAAGGAGAGAGAACAAGGGAAAATAGGCAAGTGTTGTACCCTCTAAGGCACAAACCTATAGATACTACAATAAGATACTAGAATATGTTTTGATACACCCCCTAGACTGTATAGGGGCGGTGCCTAGCAAACGGGCAAGCAGCTCAGGGAGGCACTACTAGTCCAGCCTCTGAGACAAGGGTCTAAAGACCAGTCACACGAGTACAGACCAGGACAAGAACAAGATCAGGGCGGCACTACTAGTCCAGCCACAAGGAGAGGCCACAAGGCCAAAATAAAGGACTCTACACAATCAAGGCCCTAGCAAGTGAGAGCCTACAGGCACAAGACCAAGCTGTACACAGTGCCCTGGTGATCTTTCGGCGCAAGCGCCTTCGTAAAGATATCAGCTGTGCTGGCACCGGAGGCCAAGTGTACTACGCGGGCATGGCGGCACTGCTGTAGCTCGTGCAGGAGGAAGTACCGCAGTTGGATGTGCTTCGCTCTGCCCTCAAGTCGAGGCTCCTGACACAGGAGGATCATGGCCATGTTGTCAGCGAACAGGACCGGGGCAGAGCTAGGCCGCTCACCTAAGTCGGTGAGAAAGAAGGTCAACCAGTGGAGATCCTGTGCCGCCATGGCACCGGCGTAGATCTCACCCTCATAGCTAGACTGGGCAACAGATGAGGAGCGAGTAGCTCTCCACGAAACAGCACCTGAACCAAGGCTAAAGCAGTAGCCCTGGGAGGACCTGAGCGTCTCTGCGTCGTCTGCCGAAGAAGCGTCTGTGTGCCCAGTAAGGACCACTGGCCTGCGTCCTCCAAGCACTAGCCCCATGCCTGATGTACTCGCAAGATAACGCAACACCCTCATAGCTGCCGACCAGTGCTGTGGTCGGTGTCTGCCTGTGGCCACAAAGCGAGCTAGGATGATGAGAGGGTATGCGAGATCTGGGCGAGTGCAAATCATTAGGTACATGAGACAACCCACCAACTCTGCGTAAGGGCCACTAGGCTCTACAGACTCCTCAGGGACAGGAGCTGAGAGCCTGTGGTCTACGGGCAGAGGTGTGGGCTGTGCGGAGGAGAACTGAAGGCCGAACCGCTGAAGGACCTGGTGCAACAAGTGTGACTGTGAGAGAGTGATGGTGCGCGCTGCTCTGTCCCTGGAGATCTGTAGGCCAAGGTAGTGGCGCAGCTCTCCTAGGTCAGTGCATGTGTGTCTCTTCAGCAGCTCGGCCTTCACAAAGGCCAGTGCGTCCCTGTCTGCAGTAGCAAAGACCAGGTCGTCTACGTAAACAAGGATGTAGAACGTGGAGGAAGCCGAGCCAGTGACGGATCATGGAGGTACGAGCCATCTCCATGACCATACCGATGCATTGCTCAGCGACCCCATTCTGCTACGGAGAGTCCAGCAAGGTGAACGTCTGGGTGATGCCCTCCGCACAAGAGAAACGACCAAGGACGCCGGAGGCAAACTCGCCACCGTGGTCAGAGTGGAGATGCAACACAGGAAGACCGCGGTGCACACGTGCAGAGACAAGCCACGGGATCAGAACGTCAGGCACGTCAGCCTTCCGCTCCAGGGGAAACGCTGTGGTGTAACAAGTGTAGTCGTCAACAAGGACGAGGAAGTAACGCTCACGACGCGGCCCATGGATGGGGGCAGGGCCCCAGACGTCCATGTGCAAGGTCTGCAAGGGTGCGGTGGTGGGGGGAACGAGGAGGAGTGAGGGGCACGGCGGAGCCGGCCCTCGACACAAGGGGGTGCACGGCGGCACGGGTGAAGAGGGGAGCGCGTGGAACGACCCAGGGAGACCTAGAACAAGACCATGCTGAGACATGAGATGAAGACGAGGGAGGGCAGGATGACCTAGGCGGTGGTGCCACAGCAGTGTCGGGTGAGTGAGCGACCGACACGAGCAAGACGCTGTTACCTGAGGAGACACGGGTACCTGGGGAGAACCGGGGGGGGGGGGGGGTGGGGCAGTGTCCAGCATGAACAGGCCAGAAACCGAGTCCCGGGGGAACGTGGTGAGGGGAGCACCAGTGGCGGCCTCGGTACAGACGGCGTACCGCTCATGACCAGGGAGCGTAGTGGTGACGCCAAGGTCCTGAAGGCAGTTGACACCAACTAGGTTCCTAGAGAACGAGGGGATGTGCAGGCCTGTAAGTGAGCCAGCAGGAGCCGCCGGACAGGGAAGGGGAGTGAAACTACGCGCGACGACAGGGCTGGAGGAAGGGTCGGCCAGGGAAACTACGGCGGAAGCTGCAAGCGGCGTGAGAGTAGTGGAGTCCTAGAAGAAGCACCAAGAAGCGCCGGAGTCGAGGGTGAAGGAGAGCGCAGCAGCGGCGGCAGGGGCCGTAGGGGTGAGAGAGGAGCCCAAGCTATACAAAACAGGGGATCCTACGCCTGACGCAGCAGGGGATTCTGATCTAGGCACACCAACACAAGGCAACCCTTAGTAAGCAGAACCAATCACACTAGAGTCAGCAGCATACAGCACATACAACGCAGAACTAATCTCATCCATGTCCATATCAAAGATCTGAACACCCTGACGGAGCAAGCTGAGCTAGTCGGGGAGGTCGGGCGACGGACCGAAGCGAAGACGAAACAGGTC